AGACACACAGTGATGTGTCACATACATAGACACACAGACACACACGGTGCATTGTGCACACACACAGACACACAGATACACACACAGTGTGTGTGTACACAGAGACACACAGATACACACAGTGCATGTGCACACACACAGATACACAGTATATGTGTGCACACACAGACACACAATCACACAGGGTGCATGTGAACGCACACACACAGACACACAGTGATGTGTCACACACATAGATACATAGACACACAGTGTGTGTGTGCGCACACAAGACACAAATGGTGCATGTGAATCACACACACAGTGCTTGTGTGCACACACACAGACACACAGACATGAATGGTGCATGTGAACGCACACACAGACACAGTGCGTGTATGCACACACCTAGACACACAGATATAAACAGTGATGTGTCACACACACAGACACACAGTCACACAGGGTGCATGTGAACACACACACAGACAAACAGTGATGTGTCACACACTGAAACACACAGATACACATGTGCGTGTACCCATCTGCCTGCACAAACACTGTGTGCACACACACTCTACTATGCTGGCAGATGCAAATAGGTGTACATGTGTTCACCCACAAATACACATACATGCACTATAGGTGCTGGTGCACATGTGTGTACATGACCTGGTGTTCATGTATGTGTGTCAGGGAGGGGACGGCTTGTCCTCCTCACCTGCCCAAGCTCTGCATCCTGGAAGCCTGGTCCCGGGGTCCACCCTCTCTCCTTCCCACTGGCCCCGGCCCAGCCACCGAGTCCTACCCTGATGTCTCACATAGCAGCTCAGACAACACGCATGAACGGAACAGGGCCAGGCTTTCCCATCCTGACGCTCAAGACAAGAAACCTACTTCAGCCGTGTGCTAGGCTCTGTCCAGGCTCCACATAGCAATGAGCCCATTTCACAGATGGGAAACAGACTCAGTGAGGTAATAGCCACACAGAGACGCTGCTGGAGCTCTGGACTCGCTCAGCTGCCTCACAACAGATATTTGGGGCTGCTCCTTCTCGCTTGAGCTGTCCTGTACACCAGAGAAAGTTTGTGGTCCCACCAATGTGGCAAACCATCCTATCTCTGGATGGGGGTGGGGGGGGCACTGTCATCCAGGCTGCCACCACTAGGCTCAGCAGCTCTGGCTAATACCTGTCCCCCACTCTGTGGGGTGCATGAGCCCTTCAGCACTCACACCCCGCCTCCCCTCCAGGACACGGCTCACCAAGCAGCTTCCTCTTTCAGCAGCACCGCACAATAAACTGCAGTCACCCCTTAACTGGGCAGGACGGAGTGGGGAGTAGAGGGAGATGCTGAGGGCCCCCACCAGGCCCACTGACCACACCTCAGGGCCCCCTGCCCCTCCACTGCTGCCCCAGACCCCTTACCTCCCCTTCCAGGCTCCTCTCCAAGACCCCACCCATGCCCTCAGCCCACTCAGCACCCACAGTGCCCCTTCCCCACAGCACCCCTCACTCAGCACCGCACAGCATCGCCCCACTTTCCTGGCTCTTATTCTTCATGCGGGGGCTCCCTGCTCCATCTCCCCAGGCGACCTGCCACCTGCCTGTTATCCCATAAAGGTCTCCTCACCTGATGGCCCCCTGCCACCTTGTACCCCAACTTCCACACCTTCTGGGGGCTCCTCCTAGGGCAGCACCTGCCTCTTGAGGGTCATGACCCACATCTGTGTCCACCCCCACCCCCCACCTGGTGTACAGGCTCCAAAGGGCGGTGGGGTGCGGTAGGGTGGGGTCTGGGACTGAGCCAGACAACCACGCAGGGTGTAACCAACCACATGGGATGCCTGTGTATCCTCACCTAACAGAAACCAGTATAGAGGCATGGCAGCGGCCACAGCCTGCCATGGACACAGGTGATGGCCCACTGGCAGATGGAGGGACAGCAATACCCCTAGTCCTGGTCTGTGTTTACTCTGGGCTCTCCGCTGGGCTCTCCAGAACACCATCTGCTGTGCTGACGGAGCCCCCCCACTGGACTCATGTCCCTAAAAGGGTCTAGAGGAGACACTTCCTCTCCAGACCATTGTCCCTCAGCATGGCCTGAACTCCGTATCCTGTTTGTATCTGCAGCTGCACCCCTGGGTCAAGGGTGTGTGTGTGTGTGTGTGTGTGTGTGTGTGTGTGTGTTTGTGTGTTTCCAGCCTCTCCGTACAGTACAGGATCCCAGCTGTGCTCAGTCAGTGATGTTATACTGAGCCCTGATCTCTCCTCCCTCCTCTTCTCTTCAGACACCTCACTGCAGCCAGCCTGCTCTTCTCTGACATCAGAATGGTCAGGAACGTCCTTCCCACATGCATGGAGAAGGCTCTCTCTACATGTATGTAGAGTAACTGTGTGGACTAAATCATACATTTCTTTGTTGTTGTTAAGTTCTGTCAAGTTGGTCCCGACCCAGTATAGGGTTTCTGAGGAGCGGCTGGGGAGCTGGAACCGCCAACCTTGCAGTTCAAATGGACTTTGCAGTTCAGCGCATTAATGCACAGCACCACACCAGGACTCCATGTTCCTTTTGTTGTTGTTGTTGTTGTTAAGTGCCGTCGAGTCGGTTCCGACCCATAGCGACCCTGTACAGGGTTTCCGAGGGTGTAAATCTTTACGGGAGTAGAAAGCCTCATCTTTCTCCTGCGGAGCGGCTGGTAGTTTCGAACCGCTGACCTTAAGGTTCGCAGCCCGATTCGTAACCACTACGCCACCAGAGCTCCTTTTTGTTGTTGTTGTTAAGTGCCGTCGAGTCGGTTCCGACCCATAGCGACCCTGTACAGGGTTTCCGAGGGTGTAAATCTTTACGGGAGTAGAAAGCCTCATCTTTCTCCTGCGGAGCGGCTGGTAGTTTCGAACCGCTGACCTTAAGGTTCGCAGCCCGATTCGTAACCACTACGCCACCAGAGCTCCTTTTAGTTGTGATTAATTTTAACTTTGGAAGATGCATCCTTGTCCAGTTCTTCCAGACAGGAGCAGTATAAAGGAGACCGGACCTAGAATTCTGGGTGGAAGTTTGGCTTTGCCTGGGATGATATAAGGAAACTAAGGCTCAGAGAGGTCACCCCAGAGTCCTGGGGACTGAGCCCGGGGTGGCTCATGTCCCTTGGGTGCTCCTTGCTTCTTTGCTCTCCACTCCCCTGTCCCTCCCATGGCATCAAGAAGCCATCCAACCTGCCCAGTGTCCCTCCTTTGGGAAGCCAGGATCAGCTGACAGAGCCTCTGGGCTTATAGACTTTAGGGAATCCCCTTGAATTGGATGAACCTTTGCCCCTCAATTAGTCTGGACTCCACCCCACCAGGTGCCTTCGACTCATAGCAACCCTGTGCACAATAAAACAAAACACTGCCCAGTCCTATACCATCCTCACAAACATTGTGTTCCAGTCCCAGTGCCAACCCATCTCGTGGGGGCTCTTCCTCTTTTTTGCTGACCCTCTACTTTACTAAGCATGATGTCCTTCTCCAGAGACTTGGTTCCACCTGATGACACGTCCCAACTATGAAAGACAAAATCTCGACACCCAAGTTTCTGAAGTGCAGTGCTGAAGGAAAGGTGGGTTTGAACCACAAGGTCAGTGGTTCAAACCCACCAGCCACTCCTTGGAAACCCTATACAGGGTGCTATGGGTCAGAGCTGACTCTCAACAACAAAAACAAGGAGCATTCTGGGCTGCATGTCTTCCAAGACTGATTTAGACATGGAAATTCCATCTCTGGAGGGGTTCAGCGGACATCTGGCCCCAGAACATCTCCTGTCAGAGCCCCTGACCCCACAGCAGGGAAACCACAGTGAAGATGTCATAGAAGGAAAAATGAACAGTTTTCAGAGTGCCGGTTCACCATAGTGTGCTTCCAGCTCTGGGGGCAGCGATGGGCTAGAGGGCTAGGCATCTAACCAGCTTCTCAGACAACTGAGCTCTGGGCCCCACAGACACACACCAAAGGGTTAATCTACAACACACCTTCACTGGCTAATCTCAGGAATGCAGAGGCCCTGAGGGGCCTTGGAAACTGCCCCACCCCCCACACCACCCCTTGGACTCTGGCCTCCTAGACAGCCCTGCCCCCCAGGAATGAAACACTTAGAGAGCCACAAAAGTTACTTCAAAATTCTTCTAGCCTCATAACGTTCAGCCTTTGGCCTTTCCCAGTAAATGCAAAACACATTTATCCCATTGCATAATCCCCAAAGTCTCAAATCAGTTCTAAAAAACAGACATTCTTGTCGCCTAACAGATACTTAGAAATTAGCAGTTGAGATTAATTTTAGCATACAAAGGGGCTTCAAAAAAAATTCATGGAAAAACAGAATATAAAGATACAGGAATATTTCCCAGAACTTTTTGAAGCCGCCTGGTAAACTGATTTGCTATACTGTCACCCAGCTGTCAATTCATCTTCCTGTGGTGTCCTGCATGTTGCTGTGATGCTGAAAGCTATGCCATTGATAATTCAGATGGCAGCAGGGTCACCCAAGGTGGACAGGTTTCAGACTAACAACAGACCAGAAAGAAAGGTCTGGCAATCAGAAAGTCTGAGACTCTACCAGGAAAGACAAGTTGAAGAGGAATGGCATTACAATTCACTGTGATACCCAGGAGACAATCTAAGAGGGGTGGGGGTGTAAGCCAACACAGTCAGGGGGCTTTGTGGGTGGGCACTTTGTTCTGTGAAACAGGCTCAAGACACAATGCATACACATTTGCCTCCTTCCGCTTGCCCACCGCTTGTGTATGGGCAGAAGTATGAGAACTTCCATTCTAATGCCTGCTTTGTGGAAGGCTGAGGTTTCTAGTGGGAGTCCCAACTCCATTTTAAATATTGACCTAAATTCTGCCTACATTGAGCTCTTTCTATTAATCAGCATTGTAAATGCTTTACTCTCAGGCACAGTGTGGTAGAAAATGGATTAGGTCTTTGCTAGCCAGCCTGGTGTGCAGTGTGGTGCTGAATAATAAACACTGGACTGCTATGGTTGATGGTTCAAACCCACCAGTCATTCCTTGGAAACCCTATACAGGGTCGCTATGAGTCGGAAATGACTCTCGGGCACACAGCATGCCAGCCAGCCAGCCTGGGATGGCGTTGTGGACTGGTCTGCTTACCACAAGGTTGGTGATTCAAACCCACAAGCCGTTCCTCGGAAACTTCTTTAAAGAATTCAAGAGCAAAGATGTCACTTTGAGGCCTAAGGTGAGCCTGTCCCTAGCCATGATAATTTCAATAGCCTCACATACATATGTGAAGAGCAGAGATATCAGCTTGAGGACTAAGGTGTGCCTGACCCAGGCCATTGTGTTTTCAATAGCCTCATATGGATGCGAAAGCTGGACAGTGAATAAGGAGGATCGTAGAAGAATTGATGCCTTTGAGTTGTGGTGTTGGAGGAGAATACTGAGGGTGCCATGGACTGCCAAAAGAACCAATAGATCTGTTTTGGAAGAAGTGCAGCCAGAGTGCTCCTTGGAGGCCAGGATGGCTAAGCTTCGTCTCTCCTACTTTGGACATATTGTCCGGAGGAAACAATCATTGGAGAAGGATGTCATGCTGGGTAGGGTGGAGGGTCAGAGAAAAAGAGGAAGACCCCCAATGAGATGGATCAGCCAGGTGGCATCATTGATGGCGTCAAGTGTGGCAGCAGTAGTGAGGTTGGCCCAGGATCGGACATTGTTTTGTTCTGCTGTGCATGGGGTCGCTATGAGTCGGTTCCGACTCGATGGCACCTGACAACAACAACAACAACAACAACAACAACACATACATATGCAAGTTGGATGGTGAATAAGGAAGACCGTAGAAGAACTGATGCATTTGAGTGTGGTGTTGGAGAAGAATATTAAAAGGACCATGGGCTGCTAGGAGAATAAACAAATCTGTGTTGGAAGAAGTACAGCCAGAATGCTCCTTAGAAGCCAGGATGGTGAGAATTTGTCTCCCATACTTTGAGTATGCTATCAAGAGGGACCAGTCCCCGGAGAGGGGCATCATGCTTGGTAAAGTGGAGGGTCAGCGAAAAAGAGGAAGACCCCCAGCAAGATGGATTGGCACAGTGACAGCATCAATGGGCTGAAATGTAACAATGATTGTGTGGTTGACCCAGGACCAGGCAGAGTTTCATTCTGTTGTGCATAGGATCACTATGAGTTGGTATTAACTGGACAGTACATGAGTTCAAACCCACCTGAAGGCACTTCAACATCATCAAAAAGCCAGTCCAGGGCAGAACAGAGCAGCCTGGTCCTCAGGAATTAGCCTGGGTGTACCTTTAATGGAAGTTGGGATACCAGGGCCACATGGCCAAGAGTCACACCCGGCTGAGGTGGGCAGAGGGTTCCAGTACCAATCCTATAAATGGTTTCTAATCTGCAATAATGTGTATATCCCAAGCATGTCCCCTTTCCACTTCCATTGTCCCACCTGAGACAATAAAGATTGGATGCGCTGCCATCACGGTTTTATGATTCCCTTTGCCTTCCATGGTCTATCATTAGCCACACTGAACTCCTGGGTGGTGCTGTAGCAAACTACAAGGTCGGTGGTTCAAACTCACCAGCTGCTCCTTGGAAACCCTATACAGGGTCACTATGAGTCGGAACCAACTCAACAGCACTACCAACCACCACAAAGTGCCTATAAAGGATTCCTGGTGTGTAGACTGCTAACCACAAGGTCGGCAGTTCAAACCCACCAGCTGCTCCTTGGAAACCCTGTTAGGATAACTATGAACCAGAAACAACTCTCTAAAGATCCCCAGCAACGACAACAAGCATGCGTATCAAATGCTGTCTGTGGTGTCATTTACGGGCACTGTTGTGAACCATTGAGTCGCTTCCAACTCAGCAGAATAGAATTAGGAGAAAGTCTGAACTTCTGCGAGAATGTGACAGAATGTGACAGAGACAGGGTGTGGGCACAGGCTGTTGGAACACTGACATCCATAGATTTGCCCCACGCAGGGTTACCACAAACCATCCCCTTGTAAGAAGTAGACATCTTTAAGTGCAACAGAGCAAAGCACACTGCCTACCAGCCTGCAGAGAATGAGATGAACGCCCATTCAATAAACACAGGGCATTGGGAAACAGGCTGGGGACTGAGGCGAAGGAGACAAGCCTCCCTTCATCCAATGTCACAGAAGTGCACCCAGGTTTGTGATCCTTTTATTCAAGGGGAGTCCCTGGGTTCAGTCCACCCAGAGGCACCGTAGAAGCAAGGTCTGGCAATCGACTTTTGAAGACTTACCCTCCCACAGCACAGTTCTTGTCTGACACACATGGGGTCTCCAGGAGTGGGCTCCAGGGTACCTGGTGGTCTATTTTGAGAACTCAGACACAGCGGGTTCCAGCCCTACCCCCACCCCTGGTGATTTGACCTCCTCAGTGGTGTCCACTCTGGAATCGGGGCTCTGATTGGGCATCTGTAAAGTGCAGACGAACGTTTTATCACAAAGCTTCCCAAAAAGAGAAAGCAAAGACCCCAACCCAACCCATTCAGGCTTCGGTTTAGACCCGCACATTTCCCAGCAACACCCAGACCCAGGAAATGAAACAGACTCAGGACTCGGCTGACCCCTCGTCCAATATACTCGGCGTTGGATCTAGACTTGTAGCTAGGTCTCCAGTGGGGCTCGCAGGGCAGCATGGTGAGCGGGCTGTCCCTGCATGGCACGCAGCCAGCTCTGTAGAGTCTGGTGCCTCTGTCCTCAGCAGCTGAAGGCACTGACCAGGGAAGAGCCCACTGTGAGCGGAGTCCCTCCCCCTGCAGAACAGGAACTGCTCAGTGCAAAACAAGGGCATTAGGCCGAACTGGTTGCTGCCAGATGGGTGTCCTCAGGGGGCCGGCCAGCAGGAAGCCGTCAGCAATTCCCCAGCCTCAGCTCTCTGTCTGCCAGGAAAGGGCTCGGCCACATCCCGCCAAGCCCAAACCACGAGCACCAGAGACACCCCCTCCCCGCCCCCCACCCCAGGGCATCCTGGAGCCCCAAGAATTGCTGACTTCTTGCTGGTTCCTGCACCCTCCCCCCCCCCAGGGGCTGAGCCGGCCAGCTGACCAGCTGCCTGAGTGCATCCACGAAGGGTTTCTTCTGAGACAGAAGTTCCTGGTGGTGCTGATGGTTAAGCGCTCAGCTGCTAAAGGAAAGATCGGAAGTTTGAAATTACCCAGAAGCACTTTGGAAAAAAGGCCTGACCATCTATTTCCAAACAAAATCAGTCACTGAAGGCCTTGTGGAGTATAGTTATACTATGACATACAGGAAGCCCCCAGAAGTCAGGGTCCACCTCATGGCCACTGAGGAAGGGGGCGTCAGACCCGCAGTCTATTCAGCGCCTGAGTACGGGGTCAACCCCAGACAAGAGAACAGAAAGATGTAACGGTCCCTGGGGCTTCTTGTCACATTTTCATCACAGCACGGTAAGTTCCGAGAGTCAGAAGTAGCCCTTCGGTAAAACAGGGTGGGGCGAGGGGCGCTCTGAGGTGAAGGCGGCTCGACCAGGGGCTCCAAAGCTTCTCCAGTGATGGAATGTGTGTGTGGATGCAGAGTGGTCGCGGTGCATAGAACGAGCTGGGCGCAGAAGGGCACACAGGTGGTGGTGGGACAGGCGGGGCGCGCAGAGGGGGTGGGGAACACAGCTTGAGAGGGGTGTGCCTAGGGGCGGGGCATCCCCATGGGCGTGGCACTTGGCTGGAGACTGCTGACTGCCTGGTGGGGCTCACTGGGTGCCCGCAGGGTCCAAGTGCTCACAGACTGCCCCAACCCACAGGACACCTGTGCCTAGGCCCTGAACAAGCAGCAGACATGTCTGGCTCCTCAGCACCCATGAACAGCTCCTCCTTGCTCTCAGCCTGCAGCCATGGTTGGATTCCTCCCCAGCTCTCTGGTGGACTCAGGTGGACGGGTCACCCAGGTGGTGAGCTAAGATAGGACTCGTAGGACCAGCAGGGGAGGGAGTGTCCTATGTCCTATGACATGACAAGTGATAGCTCAAAATAGGTAAGAGCCCCTCAAATCCTCATCTCCTGCCCAGGCTGCCGCAGCCCCCACCTGCACCCTTCCCACACCATGTCCATCTGCAATATTTCACAGGGAGCAACTCAGTGCACGGTCTGCGTGTGAGATCCAGTGAGCTGGCCTGTTCAAACAGGTGTGGTGTGCTGTGGTCCACACCAGCTGGAGTCTGCTGATGACGCAAACCAGCTCTGGTCTAACGAGAGCGTAGAGCTGGATTCCCAATTCTAATCCCAGCTGTGCTCTGAACCAGCACACTGCCCTGTCTGTGGCTCTGTCTCTGTTTTCCCACCTGTAAAGTGGAGCTCACAGCTGTGCTTACGTGCCATGTGGGCTGCTGGCCCATTTCATAGATGAGGCTGAGAGGGCTTGCCGGGAAGTTATTGGTAAATGAAAGGAGAATGCCGTCTGCTCATCTGCCTGCACACACTCATCTACACTAATCCCCTTCACAGAGCCATTTCTTACAGGGGATTTGAGGGCTGCTGGGCAGGAAGGTGGCGGCACACCCCCACACTGCCAGTCCTACACAGGACAGAGATGGATCCTGGCCCAGGGCCAAAGACAGACAAGGACACAGAGAGACAAGGGAACTTTCCAGAGTGTTGTGATGGGGGAGCAGGGAGGTTGGGGCTCCCAAAAGCCCCTGATCTCACCTGGAGACATCAGGGGATGCTGCCTGGAGGAGGAGGCTAAGCCAGTCTCTTATGGGAAATAAATGCAAAGTACATTCACAGGCAGAGAATATACAAGATGTACCTGGAGCACATTGTAGTTCTAGATAGTAAAAGCTTGCTCCAGAGAGGTGGGGAGATAGAAAGACATGTGGATGAGTGGATGTGTAGATGATAGATAGATGATTGATACATGATAGATAGATAGATAGATAGATAGATAGATAGATAGATAGATAGATAGACCAGACAGACAGATAGATAGATAGATGGCTAGATGATAAATATATGATAGATGATAGATAGATAGACAGATAGATAGATAGATGATAGATGATAGATAGAAGATAGATAGATGATAGATAGATAATAGATGATAGATAGATAATAAATAGATGATTGATAGCTAGATAGATGATAAATAGATAGATGATAGCTAGATAGATGATAGATAGAGGATATGTGGATGGATAGATGGGTGGGTGAATAGATCATAGATGGCTGCATGGAGGGACAGATGTTAGAAAGAGATGGTTAAATGGATGACTAGATAGACAACTCAGGTGATGGGTGGGTGGGTAGATAGGTGGATGGATAGATGAATGGATGACAGACAGATGATAGAAAAATAGATGGATATATAGAGAGAGACGGTCAATTCCCACACTGACAAGAGTACATCACAAGAGCACAAGAACAAACTAAAATATCTCACAATAACTACAGCAACAAACTAAATAAAATAGCATACACAAGTGTATTTCAATGTATAAAATAAACACCCATGAATTTGCTCTGATGTATTGACAACGAAAGAAGCAGATGGTGAAGGAAATCCGATTGTGGTGGCGGTGAAGGGTAATGGATTTACCAAATCTGTCTTGAAAGGAGTACAGCCAGAATGCTCCTTGGAAGTCCGGGGGGGGGGAGACTTTGGCTCCCTGACTTTGAACAAATCATCAAGAGAGACCAAGCGCTGGAAAAAGGCATCATGCTTAATAAAACCAACAGGAGATAGACTGGCACGGAGGCAGCAACTATGGCTCAGACATGGCATTGGTTCTGAGGGTGGCACAGGACTGGACACGGTTTCCTTCTGCTGCTCCTAGGGCAGACGTGAGTCTGAACCAATCTGACAACAGCTAACCCAACAATCCTGATACGAATAAATGGTGGAATCCATCAATAAATTGGGGAAGGAGACAAATCTCCTGTTCAGGAGAACCCTTCACCCCTGAGGAGGGACCTGTAACCCCCTCCTCACCTGTGGACACAGCCAGTGACATCCTTCCTTGAAACAAAGTGTGGGGAGAAACACAACCTCAGCCAGGTAACCAATGGCGACAGCAACAGTGGTGTCCTTTTGTTGTTGTTGCTAACAGCTGTTGAGTGTGTTCCCACTCATAACGACCCTGCGTAGGGTTTCCCAGGAGAGGCTGGTGGGTTTGAACTGCTGACCTCGCAGTTCAGATGGCCGCTTCAGTCCACCGCTTACCCTACAGCGCCATGCCCATTAAGTACACATATTCACCCCTGCGATCTAATCTCCCTGGTCCCCACCCAGTCTAACCAGGGGATAAACATCAGACCCATCTTCCCTCAAGGCTGGTGGAAAGCTGGAAACTCTCCTGGTGCTAGATGAGCAATATGAGGGGCAAAATCTATGTTGAAATGGCCAATGCCCTGCCCCACATGTATTGACCACACACATACACACACACACACAGACCCCAACTGAGGGTGTGTGCCGGGCGGAGCAGGTGGCAGGGGTGAAGAGCCCCTGCAAGGTTGTCAGGGGGAGAGGCATTCTCGGAAGGCTTGTCAGAGGACACCAGTGTCAGGCAGAGGTCCAGGCCCAGGCAGACTTGCTGAGAGCTGGGCTGGGAATGGAACAGAGAGAGGGAGGATAGGCCAGGAGCCTGGGGAGAAGCGGAAAGGTGGTAGAGTTCTTGTGCACCCCACTTTCAATCTCGGTGCCCATTAGTAACGTCTCAGTTCTGACTCACCGCAGCCCCACGTACACAGCTCGGTCCTGTGCCAGCCTCACAATTGTTACGTTTGAGCCCACGGTTGTTGCCACCCTGTTAGCCCATCTCACTGCAGGTCTTCCTCCTGGGGTGGCGCTGCAAAGGTACTGCACTGGGCCGCAAGGGCGATTGGAACAGCAAGGTCAGTGGTTCAAACTTACCAGCTGCTCCTACAGGGTCACTGAGTCAGGATCGACTCGATGACCCCATAACAACAATGACGCCACCTCATACGGCTGTTGTTTTTATTGTTTGGTGCCACTGAGTCAGTTCTGACTCATAGCGACCCTGTGCACAACCCTGTGGTCAATTTCTCACAATTTCCCAAAACTGTTGCTTTTCATTCCAATACCCAGTAATCTTGAAGGAGCTCTGATTGCGTAGTGGTTACGAGTCGGCTGATAACCTCAAGGTCAGCAGTTGGAAACTACCAGCTGTTCTGAAGGAGAAAGATGAGGCTTTCTGCTCCCTTAAAGATTTACAGCCTCAGAAACCCTGTACAGGGTCGCTATGGGTCGGAACCGACACCACAGCACATAACCACCACCAGTGATCCTACAAGACAAAGTAGAATTGCTCTATAGGATTTCCAAGACTGTAAATTTTTATGTAAGCATACAGCCACATCTTTTTCCTTTGGAGCGACTGGTGGGTTCGAACTGCCAACCTTTTGATGAGCCAGGTGCTTTAGTCACTGAAATACCAGGACAGGGTATTCAAATGCAATTACCATTTGTTGTTGTTAAGTGCCACTGAGTTGATCCTGACTGTTGTTGTTGTTGTTGTTAGGTGCCATCGAGTCAGTACTGACTCATAGCGACCTTATGCACAGCAGAACAAAACACTGCCCGATCCTGGGCCAACCTCACTACTGTTGCCACACTTGAGTCCATCGATGCTGCCACTTGGCCAATCTATCTCATTGGGGGTCTT